CCCCCCTCCGCGCATTCACCCCTGTCCTTTTGCTTCTCCCTCCCTTGCACACGCAGAGCTCCTCCATGCCCTCTTCCGTCTCTTTCCCCCTTGCCCCCTCTCTACATAAACGTATCTCCCTCCTTCCCAAATTCTTCTCTGTCCTTGGGGATGTGCCTTCATTGGGTAATTTTTTTTCCATTTTTTGGTGTCTTTTCCGCCCTCCAGGATTTCTGGCCCTTCCGCCGGCCGCCCAGCTGGTTCCTCGCGAGAGGAGGACCGGCGAAGCAGCGTCAGCTCTCGGAGTCTGGTAATACAGAAGTGCAATCCCGCGGCGGCATGGATCACATGCATACCCGGGTGAAGCTGCCAAGAGCCGATTGCCAACGGAGAACATCACGCCCGTGCACGGCCCTGGGTCCGCCCTGTGTCCATGCACGGAGACCCCGTGGTCCTGGGGGCTTGGTGAAGTGCGTCTTGGGAGGGTGTTTGCGGGAGCCTCGAGCGGGTCCCCGGGGCGAAGGTGCCGCGGGCCCCGTGGCGCGCGGGGAGGGGGTCGAGCCTGGGGATTGTGGGCTTTCCTAATTATTCCGATCGCTGGGATATTTTGGGCGACCTTCCCTTTAGGGTTGGAGATGGGTTGTTAGTTCGGTGGGCGCTTTTTTGTGCCCTCGCCTTTGCCAGGGGCGGATGGCAAATACGTTCTGGGCATTGCTCGGGCGGTGTGGCAGCGCAGGCCCGAGGCTCCGAGGGTCCCCGGAGAGGCCGCCGTGGCCCGGGGCGTGTGCGCGCCTGTCTGTCTGTCTGTCTGTCTGTCTGTCTGTGTGTGTCGGCCAGGGGACAACGGCCCAGGTGCCGGCTGGGGGGACGTGTGTGTGTCTGTGTGGGCGTCGGGGGGGGGGGGGGTATTCACGCACACTCGCGCGCGCGCTGTCCTCCATGCACAGGGTGCGTCATAAACGAGGGGCACATAAGCGCGCTATTGCTCTGGCAAATGATGTGCGACCGGGCCAGCGAGGTACCGAATTACCATGACACGGCACGTCCGGCGATCAGCGCCGGGGACGGGCGGGCGGCCGAGAACCGGCCGGGCCAGAACGCGGGTGAGGCCGGGGAGTCTCGGCAACTGGCTGACAAATAAGGATCGCCCGTCCGGGGGCCGGACCCCGCACCGGCAGGGGGGCCGCGGCGTGCCCCGCAGCCTGTTGATGTGCGTCGGATGGGCGTCGGGAGCCCCGTACACGACGATCTCGGTTGCAGCTGCGGTTGCCGCGTTCAAGGGACGGGAGAGTGGTCGGCGGGGGGGGG